ATACATACAATAGACTATACTTTTCCTCATGAGTTTTATAAACCATATTCGATAACTGAGACAAAAATTATCATGCAATCTGCAGCTACTCAAGACAATGATATTTAAAAGTGGAAAATGTAAAGAAACCTAAATGCAAGTCAAGTTCTCACATTTCACATAACATAGTAAAACGTCAATACCAGTAGACTGTGAAATTCACATGTGCATAATGTAATTGCGGCAGACCTCCCTAAATATATCCATGTTCTAATCTCTGGAACCTGTGCATATGTTTTAAACCAACAATTTAAGTTCCTGACTCAAGAAAACAGAAAAACAAAATAAATCCAAAGAAAGTAGGAAGAAGCAGGTAATAAAGAACAGCAAACAATGATATTAAATACAGAAAAACAAAACATAATGAATTAAGCAAAAAGCCATTCATTTGGGGAAAAAAATAGTAAAACTAATAGATAAATTTTTAGCAACACAGACAAAAATAAAGAGAAGATAAAAATTATCACCAACAGCAAAGAAATAGAAGAAATTACTACAGATTGTGTAGTTATCTAAAAAATAATAAAAACAACTTTATGCTCATAAATGCAAGGCCTTAGAATAAATGGATCAATTTCTTGAAGACCACAAACTATAAAAACTCAAACAAAATGTAGCTGATAATCTGAGTAGCACTGTAATTAATTAAAGAAATTAAATTGTGATTAAAAAACTCTCAAAAAAGAAATAATCAGGCCCCAATCGTTGTACTGGAAAATTCTATCAAATATTTAAAGAAGAATTCATGTCAATTTTGTACAATATATCCCAGAAACTCCAGTAGGAGAGAACACTTGCCAACTAATCTTATGAGGTTGTGTTACTCTTATATAAAGACAATATTATTCATATACCCAAACTGGATAGAGTAAAAAAGAAAACAAAAACTGATATAAATATATCTATGAATTTAGACACAAAGTCCACAACAAAATATTAGCAAATCAAATCCAACAGTTATTTTAAAAATATGCATTATGACCACGTGGTATTTATTGTAGGAATAAATGTAAGGCTATCTTACATTCTAGAATCATCAACGTAAACCAATATTTCAACAAATTAAAAAAAATCATATGATCATATCAATGATGAAGAAAAGCATTTGACAAACCCCAACACATTTATGAGAAAAATTGTTAGCAAAGTAGGAAAAGAATTACTTCAACTTTTATTTACAAAAATCTACAGGAAACATTATACTTAATGGTGAAAAACTGAATTCTTTTTCTAAGATTGGGAATAAAACAAGATATCCGCTCTTACCATTCTTATTTAATACAATACTAAAGTTCTAGCCACTGAAATATGTCAAGGAAAAGAAATAAAAGGTGTATAGATTAGAAAGGAAGAAATAAAAGTTTCTCTGTTTGCAGATGATAGATTTTACATACAAAACTCTAATAAATCTATTTTAAAAATTCAAGAAATAATAAGTGAATTTAGTAAGCCTCAAGAAACAAGCTCAAAACAAAATATTCTATCCTAATTCTATATACTAATAATAGACATGGGGATATTTAAAAATATTTGAAAATTTAAAATTGAAAAATATCACTTACCATCACTCAAAAAAATTAAAAAAAATAAAAAGGTATATCTGCAACAAAAGATACACAGGATCTACATGCTGAAAATTACCAAATACTGATGAAGGAAATCAAAGAATTAAAGTAAATGTAAAGAAATAACATGTATATGAATCAGAAGACTCAACACGGTATGGAGAGCAGTTCTACCTAATTTGATCATAGGTTTAATGCAATTACAATCAAAATCCCAGCCAAGGCTTTGTAGACGTAGACAACCTTATTTTAAATTTTTATTTAAAAGCAAATACCCTAGAATATCTAAAATTATTATGAAAAAGAAGAATGAAGAAATAATTATTCTATCTGATATTAACTCTTATTATAAAGCTTACATATTAATTACTACAACACCCATAATTAATAATGTGTGGTATAGGAAAGGGATAGACAGATAAATCAATGAAACAGGACAGAGGACAATATCTAGACCCAATAGAAATATGCTTAAGCAAATATGCTTAACTAATTTTTCATAAAGGTGCAAATGCATTTCAATAAACCAAGACAGCCTTTTCAACAAATGGTGCTGGAGCAAATGGGCATCCAAAGGCAAAAAAGAAATGAATCTCAACTTAAACCCCACATATTATACAAATATTAAATCAATAATGAATTACAGACTTAAAAGTAACACATAAAGCTCTAACACTTTTAGAAGAAAAAAAAATTCTAGGAGAAAATCTTCAAGATCTAGGGCTCTGCAGAGAATCAAAAGAATGAAATCTTGCCATTTGCAACAACACAGATGGAACTAGAGTGTATTTTGCTAAGTGAAGTAAGTCAGTCAGAGAAAGAAAAGTATCACATGATTTCACTCCAATGTGGAATTTAAGAATCAGAACAGATTAACATAGGGAAAGGGAAGCAAATATGAGATAAAAACAGAGAGGAAATAAACTATATGAGACTCTTAAATATAGAGCACAAACTGAGGGTTGCTGGGAGGGGGTGTTGGTGGAGGGATGGGCTAAATGGGCGATGGCATTAAGGAGGGCACTTGCTGGGATGAGCACTGGGAGTTATATGTAAATGATGTGTCACTAAATTCTACTCCTGAAATCATTTCTACACTATATGTTAACTAACTTGGGTTTAAATAAATAAATACTTTTGCCCTTGCCAAACCCTTGTAAGGAAAATGAAAAGAAAGTCAAATTACAGGATGGGAGAAAATGTTTGCAAACTAAACATCCAACAAGCACTACTGTGAAAATATATGATGAATGCTCAAAACTCAACACTTAAAAAAATCCAGTTAGTAAATGGGAAAAAGATATAAACACATATTTCACCAAAGGGGATATACAGAAAAGATATCCATTATTATCAACCATCAGGATAACAAAAATTAAAACCACAAAATGGCATCACTATTCACCTACAAGAATGAATAAGTTTTTAAATGATGAGAACACCAATTGTTTTGTGATTGTAAGAAATCAGAGAAATTAGATCACTCATACTTTGCTGAAGGGATTGCAAACGGGTACTGCACTCTGAAAAACACTTGGTCAATTTCTTATAAGGTTGATTAGCTTCTGAGTCAGGAAGTGCATTTCTTAGGCCTTTGGAGAAACAGAAACTTAAATTCACACAAAAACTTGTATATAAATGTTCATAGCAGCTTTATTCATAATAGCCAAGACTAAAAATATCCCTGATGTCCCTCAAGAGATGAACAATTAAACAAACTCTAGTACATATATACCATAGAATACGCCTCAGCAACAAAAAGGAATGATGGACAAACCTCCAGAGAATGCTGAGTGGAAAAAAAAGCCAATTAAAAGGTCACATATGAATGAGTCCCTTTATATAACATTTTCAAAATGACAAAATTTTATTTATTTTTTCTTTTATCATCTTTCTTTTTCTTTTTTTTAATTTAAATTTTGATTAGTTAACATACAATGCAATATTGGTTTCAGGAGTAGAATTCAGTGATTCACCACTTATATACAACACCCAGTGCTCATCACAAGTGCCCTTCTTAACATCCATCACTCATCTAGCCCATCCTACACCCCCCCTCCATCAACCTTCAGTTTGTTCTCTATCAAATGACAAAATTTTAGAAAAGCAGGACAGGATGGTATATATAGTTATAAAAGTATCACCCAAAGGATCCTTGTGGTAATGGAACTGTTCATTATTTTCACTGTGGTGACAGATACTAGCCTTAAATGTATGATTAAACTGTACATAGATACACATACATACACACAGAGGAGTGTCTGGGGAAATATGAATATTCTGGTAGTGATATTACATTATTATTATATTGTGTTGCAAAATGTTGACATTGAAGAAAACTGGATAAAGTGTACACAGGATCGCTCTGTATTTCTTGTATCTGCATTTGAATCTAAATTTAATTTAGTAAAAATTTTCATTAAATAATAGGCCTAATTCCAAATGATAGGACATAACACTAATATTTTAAAAATTAAGAAATATTTAAAAATTATGACATCTGAGAATTGATAATAACTGTGTCTGCAAAACATTAACACTAAAAGAGCTAAAGGTACTTTTATTTTTTATTTATTTATTTTTAAATGTTTATTTATTTTTGAGAGAGAGAAAGAAACAAGAGTACGAGCAGGGAAGGGGCAGAGACAGAGGGAGACACAGAATCCAAAGCAGGCTCCAGGCTCTGAGCTGTTGGCACAGAGCCCAAGGCCAGGCTCAAACTTATGAACTGTGAGATCATGACCTGAGCCCAAGTTGGATACTTAACCGACTGGCACTCCAAAAATACTTTTATATGAGAATCAATTTTAAATATTTATCCTTCAGTAACTTAGGTCAATGGCAGTGACTTGAAACTTCTCATAAGATTCTTCCTATAATAGGTTTTACCTTTATTTATAAACAGCTACCAGCTTTTCATCTTTAAACAGAATAATTTTTTAAATAGCTCCTCATAAATCTAATTATTTAATATATTTCTAAGAGATTCTCTCTTCATTAAATTTTCTCTTATCTAACTCTAAATATGTTGGGAAGATTATTATTTATTAGTTTAGTTTCAGTTCCCAAAGGACAGTAATGGTGTAGGCAGATGTCTTGAACTCTATAATCTGGTATATACTGACATATCTATAAAGGTGGGAAGGATAATCATGCTTTGGAGGAAAAGATTTGGAGGAAAAGAACAAAAAGCCTTCATTGTTTCTTTGGGAAAATACTGCCCAGAGCATATGTTCATTCTATCTAAAATATCAAGTCCTTATTTGAATTTGGCTCTAAAAATTACAGAGTTCCTTGAAGTTACATAATGAAATTGGAGTGGGAAGGAAGAACATTTTGGAGAAAATATGTTAGTATATAAAACTATTTGTTGATTTGTTAAAAACATTAACTTACTACAGAATGGTCTTGTGCCAGTAGTATCCAAAAACACAGTGGTCCTGAGAAATCTTTTTTCTTTTCTTTCTTTTAAAGCATTTTTCCATCGCTCAGCTTTATTACCTGAGATTTGAGAAAGAAAACATTAGAAACTAGACTTCTATAAATAGCACAAAAAGCTTTCAAATAACTAAGGGAACTAAAGAACTAATGTATTATAATGATAATTATAATAATACTTTATGGATTTTTGTAACTTAAAATGACTTTTCAAATAATTTTACATTCTATTTATTTTAATTACATAGTAACTCAAATTAAAGATTCACAAACAAATCTACTCCCTGGAAATCTTATCAGTGTTTATCATACTCTATATGGCTACAATCCATTTGTAGTGGTTTTTACTATTATATCATAAATTAATAATTTTATTTGTATCTCTTTTTAGTAAATTCAGCAGAATAAAATGATTAGATAAAATCAATACAGAATTTATTCCATGAGTAGAGCCCCCAATTCTCCTACATATACACACTAATACAGATACAGTATGTATGTCTGTACATTATACATATAACACATGAAGTATAGGTAGCATCTATATATACTACATATTATGTATATAATATGTATACTTCAGATATATACATTATTAGTTCATTTGAAATATTATCACACACACATATATATATTGAAAATGCTTCCCACTTTATGTATTTGTCTCTTCCCACACTCTACCTCTGAATTTGAAATTTGAATTAGTAGAAAGAACAGTGAATTGAGAATTAAGAAGTTTAACTCTAGCTCTCACTTGTGTCCTTACACAATCCTTATGCTCACACTGGGTCACAATTTTCTCATTTATATGGAAAAGCAATGGGACCAGAAAAGTAATCCCCAATGTGAGGTCTGAAGGTAAGGAATCCCACAAGATGTTTTCTGGACAGAAGGGGTCTACAAGAAAGTAAGTCTGACAAAGCCTGCATATTGCCTGTCTCTCCTAATAATTCTCTATACACATTAATATAAACCTCCTGCTAAAGAAGACTGCAGGAAGCTGTTTAATCAGCCTTTGTAATTGTTACCCATTTCCATTGAGCCCCTTTGTCTCTGGAAACATTTCTGGCAGATCCTAATCATGACACTGATCAGATGTTTATATGCTCGTGACATGCTTGGGGGTTGGTAATGATTTTGGAAAATCCTGAACAAACAACCTCCGAGATTCTTTCCATCTCTAACGTTCTATTTTTATGTGGATTTATTTTTCTCTATAATTTCCCACCAGCAGGCTGTAGTTATCAAAAGTTGGAATACTTAACTGCTCCTGCCAAGTTTTATAGATTTGGAAGGTGTGAACCATGTATGACTCATGTCTCCTTGCTAATAGCAAATGAAAAGCTAACTATGGTTTACACCTCTCCACCTGCTCCTAAGACTTTCCATAAAAATAAAAACCCTCAGTGCCACTAAGAATGCACAAGTCTCAAAAAAAAAAAAAAGTAGTCTTTTTTTTTGTGGAAATACAGATGGATGATAAATAGATAGGGAGAGTCCTCTGCAGAGCAAGAACAAAGATCATCATGAGACCACCAGATCTGAACAAAGAAAGGTAGTTGATTAAATTCCTCTCACTAAATACCTTAAAAAGTACTTAGTAGGAAAGAGACTATTTTGTCTGGCTGTTCCACAGACAGTTTTTCCATAAAATGCTAACACATTCATAAGTAAATAAAAAGCTTCCAGCAGAAAATACTAACAATCATGTTATTCATTTTCCACAAAATCTTATAGTCATCATAACAATCTTGCTTACCTAGCCTAGGACATGATTTTTCCTTGAAGTCATCACAGTCCACACATGAACCAGCTTGGAAATCTTTGTATGAAGGACAAGGAAATGAAATAAAATGGCAGGTTGTTTCCAAAGATGCCATGAACAAGTAAACAGCTCTCTGGTGATGGCATTTAATATATGCAATGCCTTAAGTGTTAAAAAAAAAAAAAAAAGCAAAAGAACTGTAGATGTATTAAACCAAGTTCAAGCAAACTAGAGAAAAATTAAAGGTTAAGTTCTACTCAATACCATGCACTTCTGAATATTAAAAAATGTTGCCTGATCACAATGCAGTTTTATCTCAAGCAGCTAAAGAGGCTGTCCCATTGAAACTGTAAATTTAATATGCTTTTACAGGAGATTTAAAAGATATTTTTCTAAAGAAATAATTACCACAGAGAAAAAATATATTTAATTTCAATAAACTGACGCACTCTACAAACACAGTGCCACCACACTTAATAACTATCTACACATTTCTCTTCTAACCCCACACCCCTAATATTTCTACTCAATGTCAGAGAGGATTATGAAACCAGGAACATTAAAACTTAATTATTCCCCTTTCTTTCCCCAAATTCTCACATCTGTATAACCTTTGATCAAGCTTCTCTAGATACAGTGGGCTTTGGCCATATGTTACTTGACCAGATGTCACTGTGGACGCTTCCTATTGCTATGAAGTGAGCTAAACTCCACACCTGCAGCAGCTGCTTGGCTATTTATGTAACAACCAAATGCAAGAGATTATGAATCTGTGTTTGTACAATACTATAGTGATGGTAAAGATTAAGTCCTGGAACCAAACTCACTTTACATGATACTTTGACTAGATTACTTCTTCAATGACTCAGAACGTCTCCTAATGTTTAAAATAATGAAATAAAACTGTTGAAACTATATAGGTCTCATAATGACCAAATGGGATATCTACTGGTCAACTTTATGAGCTGAGAAAAATCCAATTAAATCATTTTTCATAATCTATCATGAATCATCAGTGATGGTGATCAAAATCTTGCCCATAGATTATGAAGGAAAAATGTAAATTGATTTTCTTTCATCATTTTGTATCATACATAATTTATTCAAAAATACTACTGGTATACCTGAAAAAATGGATGTAGGACAGCCAGGTTGTTTTTTTCCTCCATTTGGATAAAAATCTATATGTCCCAAGGGTTCATTAATTCCTAAACCTGAGAAGAAAAGCACTCAAGAAATCACAAGGTGAATATAATCAGGTCAGCAACACTTGTACAAATAGAATCTCCTATAAATTCCTTTGAAAGTGACTCTTAAAGCTTGAATTAAAAATAAAATAAATGCTATTTTTTAAAAGATGTATTTTTTGGTATGAATGCCTTAAATTAACTCCTCATGAAAATTATAGGTCATTAATTTAACATATTTACAAGTCACCGATTCACTACAGGTCCATCACAGTTCTTTGTGCTATGAATATGTAAGTAAAAAAGAAAAAGAGGAAAAAATGCTTTTTGTAGTAGAAATTATATGTTAGTGAGAGGAAGACATAATAAACAAGTGAGAATATAGTAAGCCAGATAATAAGGGCTATAGAGAAAATACAAGTAGAACAAGAGGAATTAGCTCTTGTTGGCAGGTTGCTCTTTCAAGTAGTTTGGTTAGGGAAATCCCCACTGAGGAGGTAGAGTCACACAAAATGTGAACTATGTAAGACAGTGAGCCAAGTAGAAAACTATGTGAATTGGGGCGCCTGGGTGGCTCAGTTGGTTAAGCATCTGACTTCACCTCAGGTCATAACCCCACGGTTTGTGGATTCGAGCCCCATATTGGGCTCTGTGTTGACAGCTAGCTCAGAGCCTGGAGTCTGTTTCAGATTCTGTGTCTCCCTCTCTCTCTGACCCTCCCCTGCTCATGCTATCTCTCTTCCTCTCTCTCTCTCGCAGAAACGAATGAAAAACATTAAAAAAAAAAAAAAAAACTATGTGAGCATAAGCCAGGCTATCTAGAGTACAATGTGAAAGAAGAAAAAGGACTTTTTAGGCTAGTGTGAGTACTTGCTCGTACTCTGGATAGTAAGGCCTAAAACGTGGTATTAGATTCACTAACTGGAAAAATTTAAATATGCTGCTTCAGCTGGAACAAAATGGGCCAGAGTGACATAAATATGTAGCTATGATTTAAGGGCTTCTGTATATCTGTAGATCCTAAATGCACTGGAGAAGTACAAATTCTGGGTCCATGATTACCAATATGGGATCTATAACCAAGGGAAGTCATAGAAATGAAAGAGGGTAGCAAGCTCAGAATACTCAGGACTATGATTAAAAGTTAAAACCTTGCTGCCAGGTAAGCCTGCAGTGCTTTGACTTAAGGCATTAGAAATTTCCTACGGCATAATAAACTCTTAAAAGTGATCAGCAATAATTTATATAACAAAGATAAATACTTAGGTCTGAATGTCAGGATTAAGATGAGCAACATGATTTAATTCTAGTATATAACAGAACAAGATAACTGCTAGTGAGGTATTATCAGAGCATAAGAACACTGGGCATGTGCATCATGGGGGAGGGGATTCAACACGTAAGGAAAAGCAATGAACAATTTATTTATTATTTTTTAATTTATTTTTGATTTTTTTAATGTTTATTAATTTTTGAGAGAGAGAGACCTAGAAAGACAGATTGTGAGTGGGAAGGGGCAGAGAGAGAGAGGGAGACAGACACCAAATCCAAAGCAGACTCCCTAAGCAGGCTCCAGGCTTTTAGCTGTCACCACAGAGCTCATGAACCGCGAGATCATGACCTGAGCCAAAGTCAGATGCTTAGCCAACTGAGCCACACAGGCACCCAGCAAAGAACAATTTAGGAGAGTTCATTAGAACTCCTTAGAATTGGGAAGCATAAGTGTGATTTGACTCTAACAGTGGTGAGGGTTTGTTAACCTCTGTACATTCCATAGTCTGCTTGTAATCTCCTAAACATGTAGTCTCCTAATCATGCCCCCCACCAAAAGGCCAATGATTTTGGAGACCTTTAATTTCCTCATGTCTGAGCTCAACATGGAGTTCCAAAACTAGGGGTTCCAGGTTGAAGCCATCATTTTCTCCAACCTGCTACTAAATAGAATCAAGCCAAGAAAACTCCTCAGGAATCAGGGAGAAGCAAAACACATTTATATTAGCTTAAATAGCTCTTGATTCAGTCATGTTATTCCACCTTTATCAGATGGAGGGGGCTGAAAAGTTTGACCATTTAGGTCACTCATTCCCTTCACTGGAGAAAGTGTAGGGAGAGCAAATACGGCTTTTTAAGTTTGTATTATAATTTATAATACATATGTGAAGAAAATATAAAACTAAAGATTAATTATTATTAAGAAAATAGCCAATTAGCTACCACAGCATTGTCCAGATATAGCACCTGGAAATTCCTATCAAGTTCTTACCTAATCACCAGCTTCTCCTTTTCCTTCAACAATAATAACCAACTCTTGGGGCGCCTGGGTGGTTTAGTCGGTTAAGCATCCGACTTTCACTTAGGTCACGATCTCACGGTTTGTGGGTTCGAGCCCTGCGTCGGGTTCTGTGCTGACTGCCAGCTCAGAGCCTGGAGCCTATTTCAGAGTCTGTGTCTCCCTCTCTCTCTGACCCTCCCCTGCTCACGCTGTCTCTCTCTCTCTCCTAGAAATAAATAAATATAAAAAAATAATAACCATCTCTTAATACAATAGTTTTTTTTTGCTATTCTTTAGCTTCTATGGATGCCTCCCAAAACATTACAGTTCAGATTTTCCCATATAAAAATTGACTCATATTCATGTATGCTTTTGTGTATGCTTTCATTATAAACTTGTTTCTTTATAATAATTCAAATTGGGTATGATTCATTATCCATTTTTATATGTTGCTGAATTGGTTTACTAGTATGATGTTTTATGTAGAATTTTCGCATCCATGGTTATAAAAATGTCCATAAATTTTCTTTTATATAATGCCTGTCTCAAGTTTTGACATTAAGTTTATGAATCCTTTTTAAAAGGCTATAAACAGTTTCCTACTTTTCTTTTTTTATTGTCTGAAATTCTTTGTGTGAAAGTGGTCTTATTTCTTCCTTAATTGTTTGGTAGAGACAAAATTTTGTGTTGGATTTACTTTGTTGGAAATTTTTAACTTTTTTTTAACATTTATTTATTTTTTGAGAGACAGAGACAGAGTGTGAGTGGAAGAGGGGCAGAGAGAGAGGGAGACACAGAATCTGAAGCAGGCTCTGGACTCTGAGCTGCGGGCATAGAATCCAATGTGGGGCTGGAACTCATGAACCATGAGACCATGACCTTAGCCAAAGTCAGATGCTTCACCAAGTGAGCCACCCAGGAGCCCTAGAAATTTTTAAATTATAGTTTCTATTTTATTAATAATTATAGAACCATTCAAATTTTCTTTCTTAACTTGTCAGTTTGGTAAATGCTTTTGCTTCCTCATAAATTTTTTCTATTTTATATATCATCCCATATAATCATATATTTTCAAATTTGCATAGTATTGTTCATTATATCATAATATGATCATTTTAATACCTGTAGCATCTGTAACATTAAATCCTCTTTATTACTGATATTAATTGTATCTTCCCTCTTTGTTCTATTTTTTTCTCTCCAAGAATATATTAACTTGGAGGTGTTATATAAAGTTTAAGCATTCTATATTCCTTTCATTTCATGGAAAGAAGATAAAAATGAGACGTTTTACAAGCTCATGTATGGGTTTCAAAAGTATTTCCCATACTCTATGCATCAGAGAACATACTATGAGAAAAGTGACTCCAGATTGCCAGTTTACTTCCCTGGAAGTTTTCTATCATCTGGATATTGGACTGGTAATTTTTCCATGATATCCCAGCAAGAATGTGAGTCCAAATTACCTAATTCACAATTTTGGAAGGCCACAGAGATTTTTTAACATAAACAACTGAATAAGGACAAAAACTAGTGGTAAGTAAAAGATGCTCTCATTGAACAGTTTTCAAGGAAGAGATAATCTGCCAGATATGTACCGATCCTAAATATCTCATTCAGAAATTCCTTGAGAAAGGTGGGTATGCAGAATCAAAATTATATGTCCCTCATTTGTGATGGTTATGAAAAGATCAATCAAAGATGCCAAAATAATGTGGCATTTAGTGGCAAGTTAGATCTGATAAGTTGGGTCATCAAAAAACGTTGAGAATGAAAGACAATACAAAGCAGTTTATTACGAAAAGCCCCAAAAAATGCAAAGAAAATAATAAAAAGTAGGAAGAGCTAATTCTAGGGCCATAGGCAGAGCTGAAGTTGGGATTTCAGAAAGAAGACCTCAGACAAAGAACCGCAGAGCAAGTGGGCAGTAGGTATACTGTGCGTGGGAATATGAAGCTGATATAAGAGCTAGAGATAAAAAGACTTGAGAGGTTGAGGTATCACACTAGAACTGTGAACCTTCAGTCACTGACTCCTTGTGAAATATAGGTGAACTCAGATTCCACATAAGAAGCAAAACTGTACCCATATAGGCTCAGCCCAGTGGCAGGTTGACATAGATATTGAGAAACTGTCATCTCTGAAACTTATAGCATTTGTATCTCTTGAAAGGCACTGGCATGGATCACCACGAGTCAAAGGACTGGGAGCAAATAAATTACCTGAACCAGGGAGAAAAGAAACCTGAGGAAATAGGGAAATCAGAATAGTCTTTGCATCCCATGGTAGTGCCATATCCTCCCCCTGCCCACAATGACAACAAATGTAAATTGTCAGCTAATCAGAGCAACAAGCTTATGAAGCTCAGGCTCTAGAATCAAAAGATTTCAAATTCTGGCTCTGCTATGTACTGGCCTTGTGACTTTGACTCTAGCTTTTCCATAAGTAAAAAGGAGATGATACTTACTTGTCTCAAGGGAACTGATGAGAACGCTGTAATTAATTCACATAAAGCATTTAAAACACTGCCCAAAGTATACGAAGTGCTCAATAAAGATTAGTATCATCAGTTCCAAATCAGAAAGGGGCTCGGGGCCATCTAAATTATCCCTTGAAAGGGTCTGTCCAAAGCACTCTGGCTCAAACTACCAATAACATATTTGACATTTTCAGGAAGATAATTAAAAACAGTAGAGAGATTATTTCTCTACCTTTAGGGGAAGGTATTCCTCATCTGTGCCTCAAATGCTATGTTCAGTTCTAGTTGATACACATCATAGCAAGAAAATGAATGGAGAATGATAACCTAAATATATCAGGAACATTAAGCACTGGAGAATTTGTGATCAAATAAAAATTGTCAATAGCATGAACAAGATGAAGTTTCTTTTAAATCAAATTTCAACTTTTTAGGATGATAGGACAGGTCTTGAAACTTGAAGGAGGTAAAATGAAGGCAAAAAGTGCCATTTTAACACTATAGAATATCACTAACTCCAAGAAACACCGCTTGTGGGAAACATAATCATTTTACAATTACAGACTCATCATCACTTTATCCACTACTCTTTCTCTTTTTTTTTTTTTTTGTTCTCTGCATCCCAATGTCTACATCTCCGTTTCATTTTCAAATAACTAAGCAATAAATCCTACATTGTTACCATCGGTATCAGAATGGATGACATCCACAAATTTTGCATCGGTGTAATCTAATCTTTGATTATATGGCTGTCCAGAGAACCTTGGCCCAGCTGGGTCAAGACCTGAAATTCAAGAAACAAACTATCAATCAATTAATCAATTTCTACCACAGTGTCTATTAGATCATATGTTTGTATTATTACATAAATGTGTGTATACAGCTTTAGGTTAAACTGTCTAAAAACTAATCTAAAGATAAATGAAATTGGATGAATAGCAAATATCTTCATTATTTGAATGATACTTCTTACCAATCTTCTGAGTTTACCAACAATTTAGTGTTAAACTATACTAGGAATGCCTCAAAAAAATACTGTAGGTTTTACTTTTTTAGCATTTTTATTTAAGAAGTACTTAGGGATAAACTGGCAGTATTTTTATACTTAATAATAAGTAATTCCTACTCCTCCTGGAGCGTGAGGGGAATGAATGGTATCTTGGTTCTGTCTTGAACCTCATGCCTTACTAGTTCATCCTGGATCTATCTGCAGTTGTAAAATGATTTTTAAGTGCCAATACAATTTATGCTATGGGATAAAACACAACTGTTATTATGTTATCATTTATTTTCCACAAAAACTTCCCATATACACAAAAGAAAAGAAAATGCATTCAAAGTTCCATAGAATATAGATATTATTCCTGGTGTATGTGAAATTCTATATATAAATTCTAGGCTCATGACCTACTGGTGAGTGTCAAAAAGGGATGAAGAGGTAAAATTTAACACCTTGAGAACATCTGTGCAATGGGAGATACAATCATCTCAAAAGATATTTTTTTAAAGTAAAATATAATGTTGTTCATCTCAAGTCCTCCTATTATCCTAGTTTATTTTAGCCCATTTGACTAAATGAGGCCGAAACTTCTCTTTTCATAAATAATTCTGATGTAGAACTACTACATTTGCTGGACTTTTAAACCCTGATGATTGCGTGGCATGTGGAGTCATTTAAACTGGACTAATGTGTGAATAAACACAGTTTAACATAAAGTAGGATTACTGTGGTGGTTGAAAGAGAAACGGGCTTTGGTTGCTAGAAAGCTTTGTGTAAATCCTGGCTTAGCTGTTAAAAATTTTTTGATCCTTCTATATTCATTCACTTAAACTGTTTTCATATCTGTATAACAGGGATAATATTAAAACTGATCAAAGTAAGTAAGGTATACTTAAGGTTTGTAAAGCTCTTATTTATGCAATTCATTAATCTCTCCCCTCCCCCTTTGCTTCACTTAAAACTCTATTACTTTTATTAACACTCAAAATCATTATAAATCTTCTATGGACACATATCTCAATGTGTTAAAAAACTATAGGGCACCCGAGTGGCTTAATCAGTAAGGTGTCTGACTTTTGATTTCAGCTCAGGTCATGATTTGGGTTCCACATTGACAGTGTAAACCCTGGTTGGGATTCTCAGTCTCCCTTTCTCTCTGCCCTTCTTCTGCTCATTCTCATTCTCTCTCTCTCTCTCTCTCTTTCTCTTTCTCTCCCCCCCCCCCAAATAATAAATAAACTTGTTTTTAAAGCTAAATTGGTTGGGTTGGTTGGGGAAGGATACTAACTTTCTGATTATAAAATAACCACCATTCCCAAAAGGAAGCATGAAAATCCATGTCACTATGATTTGGTTACTAAACTTTCTGGATACAAGGACTCAATTAAGGAAAATATGAGGGGAATCAGGATCTAGACTCCCTCAAGCTTGGTTATCAATTCCTGATTCTCTCTTCTGATGTTTGAATAAAATCTTTAAAAGAACTGAAGTATGTTAAAGTTTATGAAAATTAAATCTGTGGTTATTTATTTAGTTAATACATGAAAAAATCTTATGTTTAATGGTCAAGCTTTCTCTGGACTGTTACAATAATGTGTTCTTAAAATTCACATGGAACTGCAGACACTGATTTTCCACCCACTTCTATAGGAGGACTTCAGTGGTGTTAAGAACTAAACAAGAAACAAGACTTTAGAGTCTAACTAAAACAAAGACTAGCATTGAATATAATACAGAAGAAAATAATGTGCATCATTTCCACTGCTTAACTACTGTCTCTGTTAACTTGTAAACAATTTCTGATGGTTAAAATTATGCTAAAACACTAATTTTATCAAAAATATTTTACCTGTTATTCTTCCAAGTTGGCCTTGAAATATTTTTCCAACAAATCCACTAAGATGAGCCCCTAAGCTCATACCTATGAAATGAAAATTATCAAGAGACGCTCCATGGCTCTGCAATTGAAAATGCAATATTATGATTTTCATTTCAGAAATCACAAATTATGCCTTGTGTATCAATATTCTAGTATCCATTTTTTTTTCTTGTTTAATACATTTCTGGGATATAGAGAATGGGATTTTCTAATTTCAAAACAACTATATCTTTGTTCAACATTTTCCATAAGATATCTGATTTTTCTGTCTATATTTTCATAATCACATTAAGCTTTTAAAAACCTTTGTCATCTATTATCTAAAATAGTATATGCAAGATAATACATTAATTAATAAAGAATTCTGTAGTAATAGTAATAGACACTATTGGGTACTTGAGTAAGTGCTTTGTAAATCTCATATTTACTATTCACATTAATCCTATGAGTTATTTATTTTTATCCTATTGCCCAAAATTATTTCTGGGCACCTATTAAATATTGAATGAATGGTTTGATAATGAGTTGCCCAGAAACCTGAGGAGGTATTGCTGTCAACTTTAGTGTTACTGATCTTTTCATCCTTTTTCCTTAATATAAAGCCTTTTCCTAAATTTATATATTTAACAATCATATTTCCAACACTTTGAAGTACATGTTTATTAGAGAAAAGACCACTGCTATAAGCAAAAACCAGTTATACGGTTTATAGGACATAAGAACAGGTGATCACCTCCTCTCTCTCTCTCTATAGAGAAATGGTTTGGTTTTGTCCAAATCTGGGGATGTATAAATTATACTGATACTGACTTTACTCAGATTATTTTATGCCAGGTACTAGTTAAGAATTAATTTAATTGTATACTTATATAAAAAATATTGTTATAAAGTTTGATTATTCCAAATGTATAGAAAAATACATGAGGAAGAGAGATTAAACAATTGGTCAAAGTCACACAGAGGATAAGAGATAGGTTTGATCTTTGAAATGCTCCAGTATGACTCCTAACCATTATATGGAGCTGCTTCTTGGATCTGTTATGCTTGCTCAGTTTTAAGAGAGTCTTGGAAATCCAGCATGACACAACTCAAAACAGATTTCAAGCCCAAGAATGCCCCAGAAATTACCTTCCTTTCTCTCAAATGCTCATCACCACCACATCTCTCTCTAGAATAGACACTGATCTCCATATGGGTTGACATAGTAAATGTAAATCATTCAAATTGCTAATGACCCCAAACTGGCCTGAATTTGTTAGACTCATCCCAGCCCTGAACATAAATGCTGTACTAAGACTGGTCTCAAAGACTGGCAGAAGTATGCTACTTTTTAAGATGTTTTCCTCTTACTTCTGACAATTTACACTTGATAAACTATAAACATATTAGCCATACCTTAGAAAAGAACTTAATGATTATATATATAGTTTATCTCCTTGGTGCACAGAGAATCACGACCTTAACCTCCAGTCAGTATAGGTAGAGTAACAAAAAATGAAAATCTTAAAAGATTTTTTTAAGTTTATCTATTTATTTTGAGAGAGAGAGTGTGCGTGCAGATGCATGCACATGTGAGCAGGGGTGGTCAGAGAGAGAGAGGGAAAGAGAGAGAATGTTAAGCAAGCTCTGCACTGCCAGCGCAGAGCCCAATGTGGGGCTCAAAGCCACAAACAGTGAGATTATGACCTGAGCTGAAACTAAGAGTCAGATACTTAACAGATTGAGCCACCCAGGTGCCCCTAAAAATCATAAAAGATTTTAAGATAAAATATAATAACTGAGTATTTAAGATTTTTTTTAAAAAATAAGACAGTTCATATCTTGGTACGGCATTTATCCATTTACACAAAGAAAAGATGGCTGTAAATGGTAGCATATAAAACCAATAATTCTTAATGCTTATAGGAAAAAAGTACTTATCCTACTACTACCACTCTGTGGTATTGCATAAAACACTGTATATTGTATACCATACATAATATATAAAATTCTTACCAAAAGAGTCTGAATATATATACCCAAACTCGCAGCAACTTTTCTGGTGTTTTTAACTGCTCTGCTATATAAAAACGTTGTAGCAGCCCGGTTCCAGTCTACTACAATTACATTCAGATCTTCGTAAGTCAACAAAACCTTTAGAAAATTCTGAAGCCATGCAGGAGTGGAGCCCGTTGGTCTGTATCCATGAATAATCCAGACTGTTTTCTTGCTTGTGTTGAAATTAACATTAAGTGAGTTATCCTGTTCAAACAGTGGCTCAGCACAGGAACGGCTGTTCCTTGTATACAGCATCAAAACAATGTTCATTTTGGGAATAAACAAATCTTTGATGGAATCCAATATGTTGAGGTGAGAGAATTCAAGGCATGGTCTTTCATTCTCTGAAATAAAGAAAAATCAGCTAAGCTGAGTACTGGGATAGTACTGGGATAGATAATTGTATTAGATACAATTCTTATTGCTGTTACAAAGAACAGGCTTGAACCTGGAGAGTGGGAAGGATTTTATTTCACTAGTATTTCAACATAATATCCTCAGCAACTACAATGGTTAATTTGTTGATTATATAAAGACGCTTTGAACAAGAAGCACTCAAAATTTTTAAATAAAATATAAAAAGAAATAGGATTAGTTAAAATTAAAAATTATTTTTTATTGGTACAAAACAGCAGTGGTATGACTAAAATCATTAACGTTGCTAGTAAAAAAGTATTATGCATACCAGTAAAAGTACATAAATTGATTCTGAGCTTTCAAAGAAATTCTGCAGAGGAATACTTATGTGTATAAGTAATAATACTACATATCTTACAAGAATATTATATTTTATCTAATTAGCGATATCAAATAAAGAGAAATCAAGACAATGAGGTATCAGTTTCTTCCTATCAAATTAAAGAAAAAATCATATTAATACTTAATACTCGTGAAGCTAAATGTGACAAATAATTATATAAATGAATGCTAAGAGTATAAATTGGTACAACATCCTTTTGAAATTGAAATTATGTGGTACACACATAATCTTCAAAATATGTATTCCTTCTCACTTTCTTTCTAGGATTTATATTAATGAAATAAGCAATTTGTATTAAATATAAAGACATTAGTAACAGTTATGCATAATTGCACAAAAACCTAAAATAACTTAAATATCATCATTTAGGTTTTTTTTTTCTTTTTAAGTTTATTTATTCATTTTGAGAGGACAAGAGGATGAGTGGAGCAGAGACAGAGAAAGAAAAGAGACAAAGAGAATCTCATGCAGGGCCCATACTGTCGGCACAGAGCCCGATGTGGGGCTCAAACACACGAACCATGAGATCATGATCTGAGCTGAAATCAAGAGTTAAACACTTAACCAATTGAGCCACCCAGGCACCCTGTCATCATATAGTATTTTTATCAATGTGTGCATCCTATATGTCTGCCTATCTATTTACCTTATGTACCTACCTACCTACCTACCTACCTACCTACCTATCCATCCATCTATCCTAGATGTAGGGCAGAAAAATGAAATATCTAAGCCAAATCATAGCAAGAGTCACAGCTAGGCAGTGAAACAATGGCTGCTTTTTAATTTTCTTTTTCTTAGGTTCTCAGAATTGTAATTTCTTTCAAAGTAAGCATGTAATACAATTTTTTAAAATTATTTTTAAAAAGAGCACATGAGTAGGAGAAAGGGGCAGAGGAAATGAGAGAGAATCATAAACTGGCTTCATGCTCAGTGTGGAGCCTGATTGGGGGCTCAATTTCAGGACCATGGGATTACAACCTGCACTGAAATCAAGAGTTGGATACAACTGACTGAGCCACCCAGGTGCCTCTTAATTTTTTTTTTTTTTTTTATGAGAGCCCATGATTATACGGTTTCTGGAAGTTTTACTTATGAAAAGATTTGGGGAAGCAATTTGTTAATATATATCAAAAATTCACAAAATTGTTAATATAATACATGTCAATAATTCTACTTCTAAAAACTTAGCCCATGAAAATAGTCACTTAAACATATAAAAATGAACTAATATATGTTATTTTAGCACTGGAGAAATAGAAGTGATTTAAATACCCAGAAACAATGATGTGATTAAGTAAACTACATATATATATTTATTATGTTTAATAAATATGTTATATACACTTAAAACTATAGACATGTAATACATATTTGATAAATCCATAATAATATGCACTAATTATAATCCACCTTCTAGTTGAGAGAACATATGTGATATTGTCACATTTAGTCAGAAAATGGAGGAAGGCAGTGAAGAAGCAAGAACCACAATTAATTCCCAGGTTAACAGCTAACAGTTACTTAGACAAGTGAAAAACTGTGAAACAAACTTCATTTGTTCTAAGTCCTAGAGGATGAGGAAGTGGGAAGGAGAAATAAATCAAACCACAGTGCAATATCACTGCTTACTACACTATACAAATTGCATAGGGAATTGTGTACATCCATCTTTCCACCATCTGAAATGTTTCCATCAGCTGAAACTCTGAAAGCCCCAAATGCAATCAATATATCCACACTGCTGGTCCACTCCAAGCCAGTGCAGATTTTACCTGGCCCTGGAATGAGTAATAGAGGATAAACAGAAGGACCCTGTGATAACGTAAGGGACAGAAGAACCTGAAACAATCAACAGAAAAATCTATTATCGATTGCCAAATGTAGAAGTAACTGCAAAAAATTCTATGGCATCTCATTACAGTACAAGAAAAATCATGTCTCAAAAACAGGCGGCCATTAAGTGAAAATCTATTGAGGTTAAAAAAAAACAACAGAATAAAATTAAAAATGGAATAATGAGATACTGCAATTCAAGGAAAGAAAAAATGCAATTCCAGGATAAAAATTCACATTACAGATGCAAAAACATGGAACACTCAGCTGATAGTAAAAAATGATGGGAGAAAGATTTCAATTATGAAGGGAAACAAAGATATGGGACAGGAAATCGTGATTCAAGCTAAAAATCATCACTGTTTTCCTGGAATGGGAAGGAATTGGAAAGGGAGAGCGTAGCAGTTACAATAACTAAGGAAATAACTGCACACCAGGGTGTGCAAACAACACAATCTAGAAAAAATTGGTTAACTAGACTTACCAAGAGACTTCCTAGAAACTGATTTGGGTTTTTTTTTTTTAATTTTTTTTTAATGTTTTATTTATTTCTAGGAGAGAGAGAGAGAGACAGCGTGAGCAGGGGAGGGTCAGAGAGAGAGGGAGTCACAGACTCTGAAACAGGCTCCAGGCTCTGAGCCGGCAGTCAGCACAGAGCCCGACGCGGGGCTCGAACCCACGAACCGCGAGATCATGACCTAAGCGAAAGTCGGACGCTTAACCGACTAAGCCACCCAGGCGCCCTGAAACTGATTTGGGTTTTGATGAAAGAGAAAAATATGCTAAAAACATTAAGGCAGAAAATCCATGTTACAAATAGAGGAATGAAGTCATGATGACTTCAGATTTGCCTTTTAAAGCAATACATTAAAGAGCTAAAAGTGTAATGAATGAAGGTTATAAATGGAAAAGTTTGTGGCCCAAGAATTTTATATCCTCCCTTAAGTACACCACTTACAAATGACACAGTATAGTTACCAACATCATCACTGTTAAATAAGTGCTAGATTTAATGAAGACAAGATCCATAGAAACTCATAGTATAAAAAGATTGAAAGTGATTATAGAAATAGGTTAGACATCAACGTAAGTGTAAATATTTTAAAAAACTGGGTAAAACAAATGTAATATTAAAAGGCATTCTTATTCAAATGTTTGATAAGAATATTTAAATGTTAATACAAGTCAATATACTAATAAGATGTGAATATAAGTTAAAAAAAATATAGAGAAAGTAGATGTGGTACAAAAATTCCTTAACTGGGGGATTCAAAAGATGTCAGTTATTTTCAGTTGTAATATATAGATAAATGTGGCTTTAAAAAGATATTGAAAACCTGAAAAAAAGAAATATAGAAAGTTAAATCCATGAAACAAAATGATACAACTATTCTAGAGAAAAAAATGATATATAAAGTTATATAACTGTATATAAAGATTGCCTATTTAAAAGGAAAGAATCTAAGTTTTCATTAAAAATTACGTTTAACTATAAGTTATTTAAAAGAAGTACACAGGAAATTTTAAATAAATGGGCAGGTATACTCTACACAAAATAAAAGCAAAGCTGTTTGGTGTACTAGATTATAAGCATGGTTCCAATTCATCACCCTTTCCTTGCCATGGAAAATAGGATCTTTGTAGATATGATACAAGCAGAAGCTTGAAATTGGCTTCCACACTGGGGGTTTGGCCTCTCCTACTTTGGCCATCACCATGAGAATATCCCTGGTCTGGCCTGTTAGAAGAGACAGAAGTGCAAAAGAGCCAAGTTCCCAGCTGGTCACCCCAGGTGATTGGCAGCAAAGCATGAAAGTGAACCTGACTAAGAAGGGCAGGGCTGCTTAACCAAACCCCACCTGACTCAACAAATGTGCGTAATGCTGCTTTAAGCCAAATGCTACTTTAATGCTGCTGTAATGCCAAATGCTTAAGCCAAATGTTTTCTTTCATGGTGTTTAGCTTTATTGTAACATCATATAATTTATTCCATTGGTAATATTAATATCGGGTACAGAAAATAAAAGCAAAAGTTTTCAAATGGTTAAAAAAAGTTACACTAATTTATAGTAAAACTCTTAAAAAACATTGAACTGACTCAATTCTGGTAGATGTTAGGAATAGAAAAATAAAGCTCTAGATACCAAAAACTTACCAGAAATCCCAATACAATTGTCAGATTTCGCAGCAGAAACTTTGTAGGCCAGAAGGCAGTGAGATGATACATATTTAAAGTGATGAAAGAGAAAAACTTTTAACCTAGAATTCTATATCCAGCTAAACTGCCCTTCAGAAAATGAGAGCTAAATTAAGATATCCCTAGACAAACAAAAGCTGAGGGAGTTCATTACCACAGACTTGGCTCTACATAAAATGACAATGGGATCCTTCAAGTTTAAATGAAAGGCCATTAAACAATAACTTAAACTCATATGAAAACATAAAGAACTCTAGAAAGGACAAATGTATGAACAAATATAAAAAACAGTATTTTTGTAATTTTTATTTGTAACTCTACTTTTTTACTTTCTACAGAATATAAAAGGCAAATGAATAAATACAATTAGAAATCTATATTAATGGTATGCCATATAAATGTAAAACTTGTGTTATCGATAACTGAAAATGAGGAAAGCAGAGCTGTAAAGGAGTAGTTATTTATGTAAAAATTAAGTTTTTTATTAAAATCTTTATTTTTTTAAGGTAAGTTAGGATCACTTTAAAATAGATTGTCATAACTTTAGGATG